TTCCGAGAGCAAATATCTGTCCGTGAGGCAGGTGGTAACGAAAACCCTCTGGTCAAATATAAAAAAAATGCAGGTTTGTTTTTAAAGGTAGTTAGCACCTCAAATGTCATTCCAGCGTCTAACAAGATGTGGAGATGAGCTGCGTCAGGGAGTGATGTATAGTAAAGACACGTGGAAGGTTTGCTCATGGCTCAGGGCTGCAGGAAGAGGCCGCCAGTTGCATGAGCCAGGATCACTGTATCTTTCTCATTCAGATGTTGGGCACTGCCATATTCAGGGATTCATTTCTTTGCTGCACCTACCTAAGCAGCACAAATCAAGATGGGCAAAAGAAGGCAGTGATTTTAATTGACTCCATTTTGGGGTGCTCTGCTTGAAAAATGTTACAGGCTTCCTCCCACCTGCTGAAATTAAGGGTCTTCTAAGGCAGTGGTTCCCAACCGCTGGTCTGTGGACAGGTGCCAGGACATGAACCACTGGTTGCTGGGCTGCGGCACACTGCCAGGCCACACCCAAGCTTTTATGATTGATTGGCGGGACGCTGGAGCAAGACCCCGTCTGCCCAGAAACACGCCCCCCCTTCTCTCCCCAGGATTGTCACTTCTCCCTGCACCCAGTGCTGAGTTGTCTTCTCTGCATGACGTTGCCTTGATGCAGGGGACAGTGCCCGAGCTCAGGGGCGGGAGGGTCCCTAGGAGCAGCGCTGCAGCATGGTGGGTTGCTCACTAGGACCCAGCAGCAGCAGGCAGGGGCTCTGGGAGCCAGGGCTGGGCTCAGCCCCTGAAACAGGAAACGACTGGCAACCACTGCTTGGGTGACTCTGAGGCGTGGCTTCAGGCCAGGTCCCCGGGTCCTGGCGAGAGCTGCTGCTGGGCCTCTGGAGCCCAGGCTGTAGAAGCAAGAGCAGCCTGGCTGGGGAAGGGAGAGACATAGGGCAGGGGTTGTACAGAAGGAGATGAGGGAGATACAACAGCAGCTCACCCACCCCATGGGGCAAGAGTAGAGGAGGGCAAAGATCACTGGTGGTAGCACTTGGGGTCACCAGCTCCTATGCCCTGACAAAATTTCAGTTGCTAAATAGGGTGCCCCACATGCTCCTATGCCCCTATGGGTGCCCCTCCCTGTGCCCCCCCTTCCCTCCTGCAAGCACTAGTTGCCCCTGGGGGAGGGGCTGCCCCTCCCAGCAGCCAGAAGGGAATTCTTTCTGTGAATTTTTTTCAGTTTTATAGACATCTGCAAACTCTGATCTGTTACGTTAGATATTGTGTGTACAGATGCGATGTAAAATAACATGCGGCTTCTTAAAATTAATTACCACAATGAATATGCAAATAAAATGTAACCAGTCCACCAAAAGTTTGTGAATGGGTTTGCTGGTCCATGGTATAAAAAAGGGTGGGAACCACTGTTCTCTGGTGCTTCAAGACAAACACTCACAAAACATGGCAACTAAAATGACTCGTCATCTTTCAAAACGGAGGCCACATTTTCCAAGCACAACCTGTGCTCACTGGGAATCGATGGCCCTGGGGGTGTCCCCAGGTACATGTGTATTTTTATGCATATTCTCACATTTTGCCTGTGTTGAATTCTGATGTATTTTTGTGCAAATGTAACTTTTAAAATATGGCTTTGTTTTTGTTTTTCTCAGATTAACCAAGAGATTATGATTTTTCTCGGGTGACAAGAGCTTGAATGGAGAGAGGTTATTAAAGACACATCTAAGAGCACAACCATACACACCCTTACTGACACAACCGGCCCCATAGAGTTAGACAGGCCTGGTGGTTGCCCCCAAAACTCTGCAAACAAGTTCTAAAGACTGTGTCACCCCGATAGCAGTGGTGATGGTTTTACCATGACAAAAGATTTCTTCAAAATCATGTTATTCAGGGTGTTAACCTTCTCTCTCCCCAGCTCTCCCTGTGCAGCTCCCCACTTACGTACAGTGCTGACCTCCCAGCCCTTACCTTGTGCTCCAGCTCTTTCCTAGAGTTCAGTTCAGCCCCCAGCCTCTCTTCAAGCTGCGCAAGGCGTTTTCTGAGAAAGGTGATTTCCGTCTGAGCACAGTCAAAGCGCATCTGCCACTCCTCTTCTGCAAACAAAAAGCCCCGGTAGCAGCTTGGCCCCAGGCAGCGAGCACTCTTAGAAGGCTCATGCCCTTTTGACATGAGTGAAGGGTCATAGTCAACAAGTCAGCAGGCCAGACGCACTGCCTCTGAGACAGACTGTGAACACCAGCACAATGAAGGTGCACTGCACAGTGCTGACCCGTCACGGACAGAAAATGTGTCTCTCGAGGAAGGTGTGTTGATACTGCAGTTAAACACCCGCGTCTGGTCTGTGCCAGCTGACTCAGGCTCGGGCTACAAGGCTGTAAAATTGGGGTGCAGACATTCAGGCTCAGGCTGGAGCCCAGGCAAGGGGTCCCTTCCCTGTCATGGGATCCCAAAGCTCACCTCTACAGCACAGTTTTACAGCTCTGTAGTCTGAGCTCCGTGAGACCATCAGCTGACACAGGCCAGCTGTGGGTGTTTAATGGTGCTGTAGGAATACTCTAGAGACCAATCTCACATCTCTACACCCAATGCTCCCCCCCCCCCCGCTTTCC